TATTTGAACTCATTTTTATCTTAATACCAGAATTTTGAAAGAACGATCCTCCATTTCTCTTTACTCTCGAGTCTTGAGGAGTCAAACTGAATGCTATTTGGATTGCACTGTGCCGCTCGAACGTGTGAAGGCTGTACAAACTGAATTCTCTTAATATTTATGATGAAGTTGATAATGGGAGAGTCCATTTTTGAGTTTGTGGCGATGTGAGATGCTGCTTTTTTCAGTCTCTTCGTTGAGACTTGCAAGTTCAAACAAAACTGGTTGATGGCATTGAATAAGCATGAATTTTTTAGTTTGTATGACCCATTTAGTTTTAGTTTTTCAGTTTCTATTTCTTTTTTCTTTTTTTTTTTGGTACGAAAGAGAGGGGAAATTTAGGAATGAACAAAGGTGAAGGAAGGGTGAACATATTTGTAAAACTTATAAGTTATAGGGATATTTTGGATGTGATCCCTAATCTTTAATATTCTTTGATTAAAATCTTAATAGTATTCAAAGTTTGATCAAGATCCCTTGACTTTGTACACCTCATTATATTACTATTAATATTTATATTTTTATAGTTTTGACATTAATTGTTTGATAATTTATGAGATTTATAATCCTATAAATTTAAAATCCCTCATTATAATACTATTAGAAACGGTTACAATAAAAAAATTCAAACATTTTGATTGAATAAATGGATAAAAGCTATGTAAAAATAAGAAATAATAAATGGCAAAAGAATGTATCCATAGTGTTAAAAAAATTGGTACATTTCACATATAACAAAGTGGTACATTAATAAAGAAGAATGGGTACATTAGAAATAAATTAGGATACAGATGAAAGATTAAAAATTATAAATACAATGAATGTTTAAAAATATAGGCGCTAAAAGAAATTAATACATGGGTACAAAATAAAACTAAAAAGAAAATACTAAAAATTAAAAAAAAATGTTGCAAATTAAAAGTGGGTACAAACTAAAAATATAAATATATGATACAAAGTTTAGGCATAAAACATAAATATACCATATGTAATTTTTCTATCATTGATTAAATATACAATGTCATGTGACGGTATACACATGGGTACAAACACAAATAAAACTTTAAAAAAATATGGGCACAAAAAGAAACTAATATATGGGTACAAATTAAAAATGAAAAAAAAATTGGTACAAATTAAAAAATATTTGCAAAATAAAAATAGGTACAAACTAAAAATAAAAATATATGATAAAAAAAATTTAGCCATAAGTATAAATATACTAATTGTAAAAATTTTAACATTAAAGGAATATATTTAAAAATAAAAATATTTTATTATTCAAATAATTAATGATGTTATTAATACCCAAGGACCTTGATCAAAAATTAAAAATGCATAGGATTTTAATCAAGGGAACTTTAACGAAAAGCACCCTGTACTGTTCACTTTAACGAAAAACCATATTTTTACACTAAAAAGTCAATCCTGGTACTATTCACTTTACCCTTTATTTTGTCCTTATCATTAAAACTCAAAGTTTTCAAACCCTTTTCATTAGTTTTCCTTTTAATCAATAGAGTAATAAAAAGAAGAATATGAACCTAATTCTATCTATAATAGTATAATGTGTCACGTTCGAGACGCACATCCAACAAAATGAATACGAGTGATTTGTTTGTGGTGGGGTGGGTGGGTTGTGGTTTGTTTGGATTAATTAAATTTTCTAAAATGTTTTGTTTTTTTAATGTTTGTAAGTTGTAACATAAATTTTTTGATTGAATAACTTTGTAAATGCTAGGGATTTTTAAGTCTAAATAGTGGTGCAAAAAGCCCAAGACAGATTGAGAAGCCCAAGCCCCAAGGGGTTTTTGAGGATATATCCGAGTACAATAGTCGACCGCTCATGAGCTTAGCTTGACTAAAGGATGCAAGAAGGCTCTCGACCGACATGGGCACGTGAGTAGACTGACAGCTTTATGATGCGAGTCCACAAAGACCATCAAGGGTCCTGTATTTTAATTTGTTAACCTGCAAATTTTGAGTTTTAACAGCGTAGACATCGTCTGTGGGAAGCGCATACAATTTGGTTGCGTTTTCCACCTCAATGTAGTGGGAAGCTTTAGCAATTGTGGTCAACCGAGCGGGATGACCAACAGAAGAATGAGAGGCAAGGCCCTTTCTAGCAGGCCCGAGACGACTTTCCGAAGGAGAAGACGAGAAGAGAAGGCTAGGCTCGTCAGCCTAGGAGAGATGAATGATGAATATGCTTCTCCTGGAGACGTGTTGACGACTTCCTCCACATCCTACCTCATTCATCTCCCCTTTCTTCCCTAGCGCTTTCCTCTGCTCGCAGCCTTTTGTTGATGACCTCACCAGCATCGTCGCTTCCACTCCCAACACGTCTGGAGGAGAGGCAAAACAGGAAGTTACTCAAACTTCCTTTGTCCAAGTTACTCAAACTTGCACCTGAAAAACATTACTATAGTTCTAACTAAGGAAATTCTAAGGTTCACTAATTCTTTCACTTAAATGTGATAAACGACTCCAAATTTTGCAGAAACCAGCGAGGTTCTAGCGGCAAAGAACAGCGGTCACCGCTAGGGATGGGCAACGGTTATGGCGGATGGGTAACCGCGGTTATTTACCCATGACCGTTTATGTTCATACCCGCATAACCGTTTACCCGTTGGGTAATTACATAAATGGTTATACCCATAATCATAACCGTTTATAAACGGTTATCCATACCTATAACCGTGTACCTATTTAACCATAACCATTTACCCATTTAACCATAACCATAACCATTTACCCGTTTACCCGTTTTTTCGTCCGTTTATCCTTTTTTTACCCATTTACCCTTTTTTCGCCCGTCTACATTATTTTTTTTAACAATTTGAAAATTACAAAAGAAAATTTTGTCATAATTTTCATTTTCTGACAATTAAACACCGTTATAAATACATTTTAGCATACATTTCCTTATTTTAATCATTTAAGTCCTCATATAATTTCAATAATTGAAATAATAGTTTACGAACGATATTATTCTGCTACACCCATAACCAAGAAATCAGGATCAAAAAGTAAAAGATTGAGAAACAAACAAAGATCACGGCCCGAAACGACAATGCATGGAAGACCATAAAAACCCAAAACGCAAAAACGATGACAATTCAATGTGAGTGTCTATATATATACACGTACAAAGAAGAAGAATAAAAAAGAAACGTACCTCTCTGACCTCGGCAATAGGGTCAAAAGAGATAACCAACTTGGCAATAGCAGGAGAAGACTGCTGCTGATTAGAAGCGGAGGCAAGTAACACATAACCGATGTGCCCTAAGGGAAGCAACAAATAATATTAACTTACAAGTTGTAAGTTCTCTGAGGGTTTTTAACTTTTTTTTTTAATTTTACATATATTAAATTAAATGGGTAAATGGATACCCGTTATAACCGCGAATATTACCCATAACCGATGGATACCCGTTATAACCGCGAATAATACCCATAACCGCCCATTTAAATTTCATGGATAAACGGTTATACCCATAACCGTTTATTTGTCTAAACGGTTACCCATAACCATAACCGTTAACTTTAAATGGGCAGGTAACAGCGGTTATCCATACCCATGGGTATTTTGCCCATCCCTAGTTACCGCTAACTGTAATAATGATGACAGATTTCGTTACAATTGACGTAATTTCTAGTGGTGAAGGTATATTCCGTTAACCTTCATCCATTTTTCAATGACCGGGGCGTCTTCACCGACTACGGTTGTTGCGACGTGTACTCACCAATCTGTGGTAGTGAGTACGACAGCACGTCTGTCGGCGATGAAGACGGCACGTCCACTGGCGATCAATCGGCATGTGGCGTCATTGTAGCGGCAAGTGGCGGCGCACATTAAAATGAAATGATATGCAAATGTATGGAATTGAATTGTTTTAGAGATATTGTATTGACTTCTCAATTAAACACAATCCAAATATGTAAAATGTAATACCATTAACTTTTGAACTCTAAAAATTAGGTAACAGAAAGAAGAAAAAGAATAAGGAAAAATTCTATTAATTATTATAAGCCACTGTGACGACTCACAACATTTACACACTGTTCCTGTAAAACGTGATAAACTTTCAAGGAATGCATTATCCATATAAATTTCATGTATTTGCATATTATTTCATTTTAAGGTTATACATCTAAGAAATGAAAGATTATCAATTTATCAGTCTTTAAACAACTTTTTCCTTAATTCGTTGACCTCATTTCATTGTACGTCTGTATCTGATTACCAACCTAAACCACACAAGCCATGTTCTCTTCCCTCCTTTTCTAACAAACCCCCGATTACAAACAACTCCACTACAATTAAAGAAAGGCACATTGCATGTCTATGGCTTTACACCTGAATAAGCAAACGTAGCCTAATTGTTCTAGCTTAGTATTAATAATTTTCCCTACGTATTTGAAGAAACACACATTGCTTGTTTACGGCTTTACACAAACAAATTCACCGGAATATGCAAACACAACCTAATTGTTCTAGGAAAAGGATCCTCACCCGATCCTTTTTCTGGGGATCCTAAGAATTCCACAATCGTGTCCGTTCATCGTACATTGTGTTGTCAGAAATCATTTAAAATTCAAATAAAAATTAGTACTTAACGAAAACTGACCGCAAGATGTACGATGACGGACACGATTGCGGAATCCCTAGCATCCTTAGGAGAAGGATCCGGTGAGGATCATTTTCCATTGTTCTATTCTAACATTACAGGTTTTCCCTGTACATTTAAAGAAAGACGAATTGATGGTCATTTTTTTTTATCATTTTAGTGGACTATGTTTTATATTTGCAAACTATGATAAGTAGAACTGTAAATGGGTTTATTGGATCGTTGTTCGGCAACATATAATAATATTGCATATAAAACAAAAGCAAAAATTGCATGTATATATATGTGGTTATAGCTTATGCATATATTTCACGAGATGAGCAAATTGCAGACCCCATAGCTAGCTAGCTAGGCTTCCAACCCCTCTACCTCTGATCTTCTCAAAAGTTGCATGCACTTACGTTTCAGTGCATTTCCCAGTTTATTTTCTGTTGCATGAATTATTAATTCTATGGCTTCTTTCAACCAGGTTTTGGTATAAGAATCTTTGTTCGTGAGGACATTGACACTAAACAGGCCTCGCCAACTGAACACCCTTTCCCTTGAAATGCTCTCTCGACTCTCCCAACTGTTCCTGGCGTATGACAACAGTTCCAATGTCAAGTTGATCATTCTCAAAAGTAACGGAAGAGCATTTTGTGCCGGAGGTGACGTAGCTGCGGTGCACCGTCATTTTCTTAAAGGAAATTTGAAATTTGGTGCAATAACTAGTCAGAAGATGCTTACCTTAACCTACTTTGTAGCAACATGCACTAAACCCCAAGAATGTCTGAATTTTGCACAATGTTTCGTTTACTTTTTTATGCTCCGCCGTGGGCTATGAAGAGTCTTGCCTGGATAAAATCCAGCCAATCTCTATCCTGGTCTGGAATGATACGGTAGCCCAGGAGTTTGGATAATCTAAAGTGACCTACGAACAGTCGGTCTCACATATTATCAATCATACAACTTCCTTTCTCTCAAAACCATTTAATTTTTTTGTTTACATTTCTGTTAATATTCATGTTTAATTCGCCAACAGGTTTCAATTCTTAATGGGATTGCGATGGGAGGTGGCGTCGGTATTTCAATACACAGTAAATTCCGTGTAGCAACAGATAATTCAGTCTTTGCAATGCCGGAAACAGCTCTGGGATTGTTTCCCGATGTCGGTGCATCTTATTTCTTGTCAAGACTTCCTGGATTTTTTGGTGAGTATTTGGGTCTTACAGGTGCAAGATTGAATGGTGCTGAAATGCTTGCATGTGGTCTAGCGACTCACTATGTGCCCTCAGCCAAATTGTCTTCACTGGAAGAAGCTCTAAAATGCCGAGTAGCTTCATCTACTTCATCAAGCTGTGATCTTGCTTCTACTATTTCAGCAATTATAGATGAATACTCGCTGAAGAAACCAGCTTTGAGTGAAAAAAGTGCTTATTACAAAAGAGATAAGCTTATGATTTTATGGTGTTTCCAATACCTAACTATATATCGTTATTAAGATGTAGTAATGTGTAGTATTCTTATTTCTTGTGTGTCAAGTAAATAAGATTCAAAATTTGTCACAAGTTTTTTTATTAATATAGTGTGTTTTCACTGCAATTAGCGAATTTAACTTGAGCATCCTTTGATTTTACATATAATATTAACATTTCTGTTAAACATTAATTTCGATTTCAGAATTAAGGAGTTATATAATCTTTGTGCTAACTACATTTCACACCATTCAAATGGCAGTAATTTTTTCTTTCTCATTTTACACCATAGGGTATTGAAAATTTATCAATTTATATCTTTAGTTAGATGTATTATTTGATCCTTCATTAAATTGATAACATAGTGAGTGTGAGACACTTAAATGGGCTAATGCATAAACGACATTTACACCACATTGTGTTGAGAAGCCAACAAGTAAAGGTTTTTTTTCCTACAAAAGTGGCTTGAGCCATCTTTTCCAGAAATCTGCGTTAAGAACGCTCTTACAAAAGTGGCTTAAACCATCTATCACACAAATCTGTTAAAGCAACTTGACGGGAAGTGGTTCATTGAACCATTAAGCTCATTAAATCCTATACATAGGTTCCTTGACTTTTCTACATTAGGTTCATTGTATAAAACATTAAATGATATGTATTTATAATTAATTCATGTATTTATGTTTACTATATATTGTACATTTGAGGTATGAATGAAATTAAGTTTTCTGCAAAATATTTTATGGGTTTCTTTACATGGTATCACAGCTAGGTTAAAACCCTAGTTCTTGCCGCTGCATTTTCCAATTCCAAGCTTTTGATCAGCTTATGATTTATGGTGTTTCCAATACCCCAACCGTTTGTGCCTAAAATTGGCAAATTTCACTCATTTAGGACTAAAGCCAAATTATGGTATTTTGTGGGGGTTATATTATGAAATTAAGCTAGACTTGCATCAAGTGGCACGTGTTTGGCTTACATATATCAAATGACACCAATTATTATATGATGTATGTTTGGCTTACATATTTCTCATACAAGTTAGGTTTGGACGGTGGAATGCAGCAAATGACTTCTTTTAAGGGGTGTGATATCACTTCTTTTAAGGGGTGTGATATCCACACACTCCATTTTACTTCTCACACACTTTTTTAATTTTCAGTCGTCGGATCGGATGAATTGAAGAAAATCAACAGACATAAATTATCAAAGGGTGTGTAAGAAATCAAATGACGTGTGTGGATAGCACACCCCTCTTTTAATATCATTTCCTAAGGAGTTGGATATGGGGGAGGTCTGCATCGTGGCTCTGTGTTCACACTATGATTAGTTCTCTCTATATATTTGAAGCTAAATGAGAGAAGAAGAGATTCAAAAAAAAAATCAAACAATCTATCTACGGCTGCACCCTTTTCATTTCAAAGCTTTCTACAATATTGCAAGCTCTTTATATATATTTCATTTCAAAGCTTTCTACAGAACGTCCCTTCCTACTTCACTTTCTTTCCATAGCAAAACGAGCCCATCCAATCTTTGTCCACTGCTCAAACTAACGCATGTATGACTGATGCTATCATAATTTTCATATTAGGCATTATATCGTTACGAATTGTTACACATGGGTCAAACAGCTAATAATGGCTCATGGACATGACTGATGCAAACATAAATCTCGTTTCAAAAGAATATCTTGAGTTGAGACACATGTTCGATCTATTTAGTGACATGTGCCGCCATTTGGTATGTTGGATGTAGTGGACAGATAGCATCATTTGATGTATTGAGTTGTGTTGATGCACAAAATCAGTGAGGACTTTGGTACAACAGAAAGTATTAAGTTTGTGAGCTTTGCTAGATTGCTCCAGTAACTAGTGTGAATAAGTATGCAAATGGATAGAGACAGGGACGCAAACACAAGATGTACATGGTTCACTCAGATTGACTACGTCCACGGAGTAGAGGAGTTCTCATTAATTGTGAAGGGTTTACACAAGTACATAGGTTCAAGCTCTCCTTTAGTGAGTACTAGTGAATGATTTAGTACAAATGACATTAGGAAATATTGTGGGAGAATGATCTCCTTTTATAGAAGAGAGTTTCTAGCTTTGTTTTTACATTGACACGTGTCATGTTGTGATTGGCTTCTGATGTTGACATGTGTCGCGCTATGATTGACTTCTGATGTCGACACGTGTCATGCTATGATTGGCCTCCTGGTTGGAGGGAAACTCTTCTGGGTCCTTGACGGTATAACGTTGACCGATGCTCAATAGTTTCGAGATTGGTCAAGTATGGTACAAACAAGTTGTTAGCTTTGTTATAAGTTTGTTAGGTTGTTAAGTGTGTTGGGTTATGGATATATAGCTAAACTATTGTAACAGATAACATCAATCAATTCAAGAGCCTTCATTTTCCTCTACAATCTCTCTTGTTTCTCTCTATCATCTTCCTCTTCCTTTGTACAAATTCTTCATCTTTTGCAATGTAGTTAATACGATCAATCCTATATAACAATAAGACCTCCTATATCTTAATCCAACCTGACCTCACGCATTTCATCTGTGTGACAACTCTATTCTATTGGCAGCCCTAGATCTAGCAAACATGTCATGTTTATTGTTTTCGTCCTTTATCTTAATGAGTCGTGTACCTGACTCGTTAACGGGTTGTGTCGTTTCATGTCGGGTTAATAGGCCATGCAAGAAATTGTTATGCCTTATGTGTAGACCTAGCAAACAGGTCGTGTTCGTGTCATTTACGTGTCATACGTGTGACCTTAACGAATTCTCAATGTGTGACCTGATAACAACCCAACTCATTAACTGGTGACCCTACAATATTCCAGACTCGTACAATTTGACTCCAAAGATATTATTTCCGTATCATTTTAACTAGTCGTGCAAGAAATTATCAGAGATTGGCCATATCAATCGTGCAAGGATGAATGGAATCATCCACAACCTAAAAAACCTCATCTGTCGCATGCATTCCAACAGTGTGCCGCTTTACAATTACAAACCCCACATTCCTTCTTCCCTTTTTTTTTTAATTTAAGGCAACTCCTTTGTTGCAAGCAGAACGCAACGAGGTGGAAATCCCTTACACCCTGGTTCACGGACTCACACCAAATACTCCAAAAATGGATCCCGCAACACCAAATCCAACCCCCGATCCGTTCCCTCCCTACACCTACCCGCAATGCAATTTTCCCTAACCTACTCCATCTAACAACTTAAGGTCATCTCCAACCGAAGGAGGGCCAAATGATCATGCTTAGCCCCAGTGGCGAAGCCACGTAGGAGCGAGGAGTGGCGGCCGCCACTCCCCTCGCCGGGAAACACCACTGGACCCCAGGTCTTCGCCACTCCCCTCGCGCGCCTCGCCGGAAAATAATGGTTCACGCAACAGAGCCCTCTGTTTTTCTGGGTTTTCTGGGCAATCTGCAGTGCAGATTGCATTCTATTTTTTTTTTTTTAAAAGCTAAATCAAAACGGCGCCGTTTTGATAGTTGAATTTTAAAAAAAAATTATAATGGGGTGGGGGACCGCTTCCGCGTGTCGCCCCAATGAAACCCTAGCTTTCTTCTTCTGTCATTAATCAATACACACACACCCCATCCGCACTGCACACCCTTTACTCTTTTCTATCCTTTTCTTCTGTCTTCTTCACCAATAATCAACACACACACAGAGAGCGGGCCACCATCCATCTCAGCCAAGTTGTTCTTCAAACTCCAGCAGCCAAGCCAAAGCCACAAAGTTCTCTTTAATTTCTGTTCCACAAGCCAGTGAGCCACCCTTCTCTCCTCTGAGCTTGAGCCGGCTCCAATCAATATTTAAAGGTAAATTTTTTAATTCTTAAATGCATAATCCCTACCTTAATTATGTGAATCAAATGATATGGTTATTGATTATTCATGTCATGGTTATTTAATACAAATTATGAAATTATTTTTTAGGGTGAAATTATTGATACGAATTGTTGGGAATTAGAAGAATCATGTGTATGTATAATTGTAATTTGTTTGTATTGATTAATTATGGAAGACATTACTATATAAAAAAATTTAGTAGTTGCCATTTTTCTTTAACCTTGCATTCTTTTAAGTTCGCCCATCCCCCCGAGAAATCCTGGCTTCGCCACTGCTTAGCCCTATAGTCCAGCGAGAAATTATATTTTAATGAACAGTGTTAGTCCATATTTTATACCATCTCCCACTAAGAGGGCCAAAGAGCCATAGGCCAAACATAACCATTTGACCAAAAACTCATCTCCAACCAAAATGCTCAAAGGGCCATGAACCAAAAATAACCCCCTCAATAATTTATTATTTTAATTGAATTAATGGTTAATTAAATTAAACTATCATATGAAAATAAGGTTTTCAGACATATTTTGAGTGTTACTTGCCATAGTAATGAAGAAAAAGTGGTATTCTTGTACCTGCCACAAAGTCAGTCTTGACATTCTAGCGCTGAAGGGTTGGGCTGGCTGACTGGAAATGGCGAGCTCACTGGCCTGATTTGGGGGGTTTTGGTTCGGTGGGGCCTACAAACCCTTTGACCTAGCCCTTGATTGGAAACACTTTTCATGTTATTTCGAGTTATTTTTAGCCCTATAGCCTTTTGACCAAATAGTTAGAGATGCCCAACAATCCACTTAAAAACCGTTTCCCACGCGATAGTAGGGCTGGGTATTGCTGTGTTTTGAAAAAAAAAACTATTTCTGTTGTTCTGTGAGAATAAGCTCATTTTTACTGTTTCACGTTTTCAGCTTTTTCATCCAAAACTGTGAAAATAAGCTGCTTTTACGTATTTACCAAACATCTTTTTGAGCTCAGTTTTTTTTTATACTCACTTTTTATAAAAGCACCTCAACATTAAACCAGTGCTTAAAAACATATAAATTTTTATGGCAGATGTAACTAAAAGTGCTCTTTAGCCATTCCACTAGCATTCCCCAACAGGTCCATATGTATACACAAAAAAAGGAAAACTTTGGAGTGAGTAAATCAATCACTGAAAAG